CTGATGGGTTCTTGTATTAATGTGGAGAAATGATGAACAGAATCTAGCACTCAGTATCTGACAGACAAACTGTACATGATGGATGCCAAGTTGTCTGAAGCAATAGACAAATTATGTTGGCTTTGAAGATAGATGAAGAAGACTGAGCAACCAATGTTACATTTTCTGTACAACTCCCCCTCTCATTCCCCCACCGGCCAGCACCATTCTCCTCTTTTCCTTCGGAACCCACCTTCCCTACCAACAACCACCACCATCCAGTGACTTAAGGCCAAGTAATGGTACACTAAGCCCAGGCAACAATCACTTCCAACATCAGTGTGAATAAGAAATAAATTGGGTTCGAGCTTTCTTACTAATAAATAACATTTCATTCTCTGTTAATATATCTCCATTTCAGTCTTTTTGTATCTCACTGACTATATATATATATATATATATATATATATATATATAATGTTATGCTGTTCATTTCTACCTCTGCTCTTCATTCTGTCTACTCATATCTGTCTCTGCCTATTTGTATCTAGGAGAATATATATATATATATATATATATATATATATATATATAATAAAAAGGCTTAAACACTAATATTCCATGGTCATAATTTATTCCATTGGAATCGTAAATACGATTAATAAAAAGGCTTAAACACTAATATTCCATGGTCATAATTTATTCCATTGGAATCGTAAATACGATATATACATGTATGGGAATTTTTTAGATATATTTTTCATATGTATGTATATTTTCCACTAATATTATCTATATATATATATATATATATATATATATATATATATATATATATATATATATGTGTGTGTGTGTGTGTGTGTGTGAAAAATTATACTGAGCTCTCTTTTGTGGATCAGTTTTAATATTTTATATTAATAGGATCTACTTGGATTACTTACTCACTTTTTTTTTATTTATTCACTTGACACCTTTCTGACCATAGTTCAATTAGATGTCATTTAAATATTCATCGAAACTTACTGGACACTATTCGTAAATACTTGTTAACAGCACTAATATAATACTATCGTCTACATGCAAAAAAAAAAAAAGCTAGAAATAATGGAAGCCTTATTAATAAAAACAAAGAACAACACTTAATAATATTAACTATGAACATGGACACAATATCTTGACCATGTTTTGAAAAATGAAAACATTTTATAAAACATACACGCATAGATCGCATGAGAAATTGTATAAAAAGCTAAATAAAAGCACCTTGTCTGTATTCAATGAAATATATATATATATATATATATATATATATACTAGCAGTAGAGCCCGGCATTGCCCAGGGATGTAACAGTAAGAGATAGATCAAGTATCGACCATCATAAAGACTGAAAAATAAAATTGACAAAGATTATTGTTTAAGGTTGACGGACACGCATGTCTTAATTAGATTTTTTTTTTTTTACGAATTGGTCAAACCCAAACTCAAACAAAAACATTTTCAATTGTTATGAGTCTACCGATTGAATAGAATTTTATTATAAACAATTGTCTTGTAAATGGAATTTTAAGGCATTCTGAATGTAAAATAAAAAAAAAATGTGCAAGACAATAAGAAACACTACCTGCCAAAAAAGAGTGAAGTTTTGTTGAAATCGGTTGAAAAATGTAGGAAATCTGATCCCATATATAAACGAACACACACACACACAAACAACCTGGGTTTTATAATAAGTATAACTCGATATGAGTTGTCCCTCTTTCATTCTCACGACAGAATTGTGCTTTATCGTGTTTTCAAATTCATTTTGTGCAAAAACAATTGCGTTTTTCCAATTTTTGTCACTGTCAGAACCACCGCAAGGTAATTTTACGCATTCTTGTGAAGTTTTGTTGAAATCGGTTGAAAAATGTATCATTTATATATATTTGTGTATTTAGGCAGCAATCCTTCTTTCATGCACATTTCGTTGAATATGACAGACAAGCTGCTTTGATTTAGTTTTTTATACAATTTCTCATGTGATCTAATAATTTTTTCTTTTCAGATAATAAAATTATATGAAAAATGACCGAATATTCTTTTTTTTTCTCTGAGCACTTTCAGCTACACATTTAGCCATTCGTAAGTTTGAAACACATTAACTGTTAACAAGAAAGAGTTTGTTGTATGTATGTATTTATATAATGTTTTTATTTTCAAAACACTGTCAAGATATTGTGTCCATGTTCATAGTTGATAGTATTGAGTGTTGATTTTTATTAATAAGGTTTCCATTATTTTTAGCCTTTTTTTGCATGTAGATGATGCTGTTATATTTGTGTTGTCAATAAGTATGTTACAAATAGGGTTCAGTAGGTCTCCATAAACATTTAAATGAAATCTAATTGAGCTATGGTCAGAAAGGTGTAGTGTGAGTCTTCGTGTCAGTATGGCTTATATAATTATTTACAAATTTTGATTGATCAATAATACCATTCCTTAATAGACATTTAAATTTGTAAATAATATTTGTCTTATTTGATTTTGTTCTAAGAGGTGAATTATTATTTTTAACTATAAGGTTAGAGGTTTTAAATTTTTTGTAATAAATAATTAATCTAATTTTTTTTTTATTTTCAACTGGCGTTGTGCACTTTTTATAATAATTCTACTTTTATCTTGTTTATAATTTCCATTCATTTGATTTTTATAAAAAATATTGATGTTTATGTTTCTATTCTCATCGTTGCTATGAGCTATCTTAGACAGAAAACGCCTAATATGGAAATCCAACAATTGATTTGGTAATCCATTATTAATAAGCGATTGTTTTACATTGTTCAATTCTTTAGAGAAAAACGTGCAAGAGGATGAATTCTTGTGCACTCTATTGAGGAAATTTTTTAATAACACCTATTTTATATCTAAGAGGGCAGTCACTAGAGAAATTAAGATGGCAAGAGTCTTTACTAGTTGTTTTTTTATAAACAGAAGTTTTAAAAGTATTATTGCTAAAATTGATGAGAACATCTAAGAAAGGAAGTTTATTTTTTTCACTAAGTTCGTAAGTAAAATTTAGGATGGAATTTTGTTGAAATTTAGCTTTCAGATTTCCAATTTCCTTCTTCTTTTCAGCATTCTTGTTAACAGTTAATCTATTTCAACCTTGAAAATGACTAAATGTATAGCCAAAAGTGCCTGGAAAAAAAAGAACATTCAGATAGTTTTTATATAATTTATCATCTGGAAAGAAAACAATTATTAGATCACATGAGAAATTGTATAAAAAATTAAATCAAAGTACCTTGTCTGTCATATTCAATGAAATGTGCATGAAAGAAGGATTGCTGCCTAAATACACAAATATATATAAATGAATATAATTAAATGAATAAATATAAATAAATGTACTTGTAAGTGTTCACATAGAAATAACCATAAAATTAACCTCAAGTTCTTGGACACTAACAATAATGATGTCAATAAGCTTAAACACTGCAAGCACAATATCATATGGTTCAACCCATCCTTTAACAGCAATGTCAAAACTAATATCAGAAGAAATTTTCTGAATGTAATCCATATGTATTTCAATCATTACCCTATGCTAAAAAAGATTCTCAATAAAAACAATGTAAAAGTTAGCTACCGTTGTGCCAAAAACATTGACCAATATATATTACAGCACGACAATGTTATACTAAACAAACACTTAACCAACCTACAAACAAACACACCCTCACAATTAAAGAATGCAGCTGCCAAAAAAACAAAATCTGCCCATTAAATGGTAAATGCATGGACAGAGATATATTTTATAAAGCTAACATCATATATGATGGCAAGATCAAGTTCTATTAGGGTTCTACTGAAAAACATTGGAAATCACACTTCTACCATCACCAAATAGTAACAACACTACCCTCTCTTAATTTTTCTGGAAAATAAAATCAAGAACAGAAACCCAACTATCACCTGGGATTACGTAATGAAAGCTAAACACTTCAGTGCTAAAGGTGATAAATGTAGCTTATGTTATTCTGATATGTTAATGATCTTAAAAAATATGGACAGCCCTAATTTGTTAAACAAAAGAAGTGAATTAATGAGCCCTTGCGTACATAAATATAAATTCTTACTCAAGAATGTTGACGCTGTTTAATATAGTTTTCTCAGTTTCAGACACCATTGATAGTGGTTTTAGTGTTGCTATTATTATAATTACTATAGCATTAATATATATATATATATATATATATATTTTCTCATATTTGTTATTATTATCATAACCTATCATTTTATTACTTTTACTATATCAATATTACTTTTTATTATTATTCTACTATTGATATCATTTTATCATTGAAGACCTTTTTATTAATTTTTATTAATCTTAATTTTAAGCGAATAAAAGAGTTACCCCCTTGATTTTCAAGTATATATCTCCAACAGCATCCGTAAATGTCATTTTTTAAATGAATATTAGAATTTCTAATTTTTATTTTCAACTTTAAGTGTAAGTTTGAGCCTAAATTTAAATTCAAAATTAGATTATAGTGAAATTAAATATTTAACAACAGTAACAATAATTCATCCAAACAATATCACAAACTCATGAGACCTAGAAATATTAACCAAACTGTAAACAACGTTCTGTACCTGAGGATTGCACCAGGCATGAAACTCTGAGTTGTATTAATAGTGTGGAGTATTATGTACTTCATATATATATATATATATATATATATATATATATATATATATATATATGGTAAGAGTGCTCAGTATTATAGATAAATAACTGGTCTAAAACAGTTGCCATTCCTGTTGCAGGCAGAATTTTTCTTTAATAAGAATTCTTAATTTAGAATGGTTACTATTAATTCCATATATATATTTTGAACTTTGCTAAACTAGAAGTCCTCTGTGGCTGAATTGGTTGACAGCACATCAAGTCAAATGATGGTTTTCGTATGGTTTACAGGTTCGATTACTGTCTGAGGACATATTTTCTATGAGATTTTTCTGTTCATCTGTAATGTCAATTTATCTCTTTGTATCTTTCTCAGTAAGCATTTCTCTCTCAATCGTGTTGCATCTCTCTCTCTTTTTCAACTTGTGTCTGTCTCTCTTTCAATTTGCGTCTTTCTTCTCACCTTCATTAATCATCTTTCTTTCTTTTTCATCTTCATCAATCCATTCATTGATCTTTCTTTCTTCCAATTTCATTGATTTTACTTACTTTCTTTCATTCTTCTCACCTTCATCAATGCATTCATTGATATTTTCTTTCTTTCTTGTCACCTCCATTGATCTTTTCTTTCTTTCATCTTGTCTTTCATTCATTGACCTTCTTTTCTTGTTTTTATGCCACATATTACTTTATTTCTTTAAATCCTTTTTTGAAGCACTTCAAACAATTTTAGAAATTATTAAAACTCTCTTCCTTTCTAATTCTGCCAATTCACTCTCACTGCTACTATCTCCTCCTACTTTAATTGGTCATTATAATTGTCTTTCTCTCATATCAAATCCCTCTTTACTCCAGACACAAACACTTTTTGCATACTCTCTATCTCCAATCCTGCTCTTTCCTCCTCTTCCTCTGACCATCCTTCACTCCCTCTCTCTTTGATTTGTACTTTTTATCTCTTTCTTCTTCCACAGCTTTCTATTCACATTTCTAGTGATTCCATCTTTGTTGGGAATTAATCAGAAATGATCATCTTGAGAGGATTTCTTGTGTTCACTTAATTTATTAAGCCTTTACTGGCTCTGAAAACCTGTTTTTGTTTGTTCCTTTCATTTACAACAAACTCTTCATAAATGATAGATCCAGTGAACCCAAATGTTTTAAGACAAAACTTCCAAATCACCTTCATCTGCTGTGTTAACCCCAATCATAATTTCAACCCTAAATGAGTTCATCCCCTCAAAATAGGTAATTTGGCTTACATAAATGAATATTAACGATAATGATAAGTGTGCATCATCTAGAGACTGTTTTTGATTTCTTCCTTTCCATCAGACCTTACCCCTCCCCCACTTCAATTTCTACCTGATATCTCTCTCCTTTATTAAAGAGGGATGTGTCTGCCCCCCACCCAATAAAGAAGGAGTATCAGATAGAAATGGGGGAGGGGACATGTGTAAGGTCTGATAGAAAGAATAAAATCAAAAATTAGTCTCTAGATGACCTTTTAGTCATACCCTCTATTATTAAATTTTGACAAACTGAAAGATTACCCCCACCTCAATAAAGAAGTGGGATATTAGATAGAAATTGGTGGTGGAGTTGTCTTTCTGAACACGTAAGAAAGATTTGCATTTATAAGGCATGATTTAACTCTGCTCGATCTACTCTGTGGCTGAGATGGTTTAAAAGTGTGTTGAATCTAATGATAGTTTCCCTTACCAAGGGTGATGCAGGTTTGAATACGGACTGAGATCACATTTTTTTCTTTAATAAGATTTCTCAAATATTCAGGCAGGTAGATGAGAATAAATAGATATACTGTTTAACAAATAAATGGAGCATCTACTCAAATATGGGTGTCCACTAAAAATAATGTTTAAAGTGATAAAATCTGTTGGATTAATAAATAAAAAAAACATCACTTCTTTAGGAATATATATATATATATATATATATATATATATATATATATATATATATATATATATATATATTTGTGTATTTAGGCAGCAATCCTTCTTTCATGCACATTTCATGGAATATGACAGACAAGGTGCTTTTATTTAGTTTTTTGTACAATTTCTCATGCGGTCTAATAATTTTTTCCTTTTCAGATGATAAATTATTTAAAAACTGTCTGAATGCTCTTTTTATCCAAGTGCTTTCGGCTATACATTTAGCCATTTTCAAGGATTAAATATTTTAACTGCTAAATAAGAAATAGTTTGTTGCATGTATGTTTTATAAAATGTTTTCATTTTTCAAAACACAGTCAAGATATTGTGCCCATGTTCATAGTTAATATTATTAAGTGTTGGTTTTTTGTTTTTATTAATAAGGCTTCCATTATTCACTCTACACCTTTCTTACTATAGTTCAATTAGATCTCATTTAAATATTCATGGAGACCTACTGGACACTATTTGTAACATACTTGTTGACACAGACACTAATATAATACTATCATCTACATGCAAAAAAAGGCTAGAAATAATGAATTCTGTAACTCTCTATCTTGAGTGGCTCCCAGGACTTGTAATATGAAAAACTAATCTTTTTTCTTCACTGATGACCACTACACTACAAGCACATTCGATATAGCAGGTATAGTATGTGCTTTTTAAATCATCAGAAACTGAATGGTTATGCAACATGGCAAATTATACAGGTAGGAGAAAAATATTTTTTATTAACTTGTATATAATAGGGTGCTGAAAATTTTTCACACATTTTCGTTGCTTTAATCTGATCAAACATCAGAATTTCATTCATTTTTTTTTTTTAAAGAACTTCTTGGTTGGACTGTGAACTTTACGGTATGGTTCCAAATTTTGAAAACTATGAATGACTTGAATTATTGAACCTTTTTGGGGTGTAAGCATTTTGTGGAAGGATATGTAGGTTGTGTGCCATAACAGCTAATCTGTGTGGCAGCAATCCTTTCAAATTCTGACCGAGTCTATTTTTGTTTATTTCATACTAATGCTCTTGGAAAAGCCAAGAACCCATCTTCTGTCATTTATAGGCTAAATAAAAACAGATTGTGCTCCTTTACATCCATCTAGAAGGCAAACTCTGAATTGAATAGGATAGACTGGTTTCATCAGCCTTGGTTGAGCAAGAAGGAGAAGTACGGCCATCTCTGTGAAATTTTTGGCAAAAAATTGTACCATAGCCATTAAATTCTCAATATCATACATATATTTCCCTAAAATTATAGGGTGGCCACTGAAAAACTGAAGGATTTGAAAATGTCATAACGTGTTCATTTTCAATCTTATTATTTTCTTTATTTTTAGGTTATAGAGCACCCCTTGGAGATTAAAATGGCTACGTATGATATCCAGCAATGAGTAGAATTCATTGAGTCTTTTGATTTCAATGAAAGATCAATTATTCAAACTCAGAGAAAATACTGGCAACATTTTAATGTCAGAGTATCTCCTAGCGATAACATGATTTGGAATCTAATCACCCAGTTTGAAAAGAAGTGGATCCGTCAGCGCTCTTTCGGGAAGTGGTCTTAAGCACACTGTGTGCACTGATGTGGCAATAAAATCTGTACAGCAGAGTGTCCATCAGCTTCTACCCATTGTCGTTTTGCTCAACTAGACATTGCTAGAACATTGCTTCAGAAGATTCTGAAACTGAATTTAAAAATGTTTCCATACAAGATTCATATAATCCGAACTTTACTACCCCAAGATGTGTTTGTGAAAGTTATTTTTGTTTTATAACATTCAGTCTTTCAGTGGTCATCATGTATTTAATTTTTCATGATATTAAAGAATAGAAATGAACTGGATATTTAGTTATTGCATGTTTCTTCTCATCTTTTTTTTAAGTGATTTGACTGCATGGAGTTTGCTACTAGATTGGCAACTAGGTCTCACTGTTTTACTATTGAACTAGTGAGATACAACCATATGCTCCATTCTAACAGCTTCTTTTCTCACACTTCTCACCAGTGGAATTTCCTTCTGATTTCTTGCTTCCCTGCCAACTACAATCTTCAAAAATTTAAATGTAATGTCAATTATCATCTTCTGTCTTCCTGAACCCTGTTCTTTGCACAGTTCTTTTCACTAAAGTCTTCTCATTTTCTGTAACCCCCTGCATCTCAGTGGCATTATCATCTTGTTTGAGGTGAAATGTTTAAAAAAGATAAAAAAATTTCCATTAAAAATGTGTTTTCAAATTTTGGGTGACAAGTGCCAACTAGACATACATTGTAATACATTTTAGGATATTACGAATAAGAACAAAAAATGAATTATCTGGGGAGTGTTTTAACAGAGGATGGAAAGTGTGACATTGAAATTGAAGGTTTATTGGGATAGCAAAAGATGCCTCCCTAAAGTTAAGCAAAGTATTAAGAAACAGGAAAATATTGTTAGAAACAAAAAGAATACTGAACTGTTGCATGATATCAGTCCTCCTATATGGCAAAGAATGTTTGACAATCTCTCTCCAGATGAATAAAGGACTTGATGCAAGACGAACATGGTTCTACAGAAGGATGCTGAGAATACCATGGGCCAAATATGTAGGTAATGACAAAGTTTTAGATGAAATGTAAACAAAATGGATACAATTATTATTAGAACCTGCCTAATTTCTGTTTTATTATCTGCTCGCTGTAACTTGCCGTGTGTCACACATTTTTCTTGCAAGAAAATGATGATTGATTTTAAATTATAATTTGTGGAGAAAAATGATGCATTTCAAAATTACTCAACGATCTTGACAATATGACCTTCATCTTCTGGCTTTCTCTTTCTATATTTTGTATAGGAGTCATTCCCTTGTTCAAATTTAATTTAAATCAAAGGGATAAAAAATATTCAGTGGGGGGGGGATTGTGCCCTGCCCCTGGGACCTCTTTTGATCAAAATGAGATATAGTTATCCAAGTACCCTAGATAATGTAGTTTCAGAATATATATGGTCATGGGGATCTATCTCCAAAATACTAAGAGGAGTTTGATAACAAACAGAGAGACAGAGGCTACAACTTTATATATAGAGATTCTGTTAACTGACTGAATTTGCAACTTTGCTGTTTCAAGTAAGAGGTTTTTTAAGCTGTGTAAAAATTTCTGAAAATGTGTACTTTTGTATAATATGACCCCACGTTTTTGTCTTTAATTTAAAGTATAAATTTCTTGTATTATTCACAAGAAAATATGGTAAAAAAAAACCAAAAAATACTCAGACTTTCTAGATGTCAAGAGAAAAATCACAAAAGATATTAATTTCAGTTTGCTATGAAATCATTTACAAATCTTTGAGTCCCAGTGTTAGATAAGGTAATTTTTTTATCTCTTTCTCTGGCTTCAAGCTACAGGTTTACCTAGGTTTACCCTGATATAAACCCTAAAACATTTATTTTCTTCTTTTATTAATATCATAAATCTATTTTTTTTAAAAAGACACATAATCACAGGGCCAAACGACAAGACTGGTTAAGCTGCAGTAGTGCAAGAGGCAGACAATTGCTGTAATTTCCTGAGGCTCAAGGTGCCAAGTCGTCTGACATTCATTGCTTACAAATGGTCCATGGGCGAATGATTATTCGCTTGAATTGACAAGATCAAGTTTGCATTACAAACATCCATCATAAGTGCCATAGTCAGAAAACAAAAATAGGAAAATGAAAACCTAAAATAATAAACACATAAATACTTATACTATTTCTAGAAAAGCATATCTAAAAAGAAATGCACTCTAATATAAAAATATTATATAGTCACTTTCCTTTGTTTAAAGACTGTATAAATTATTACTCTACCTTTAACATTTTGTGAGATTTTAATAGATCACCATTAAAGCTATTTAGTACAGCACTCATCACCATAAAGCAAACATATCTTGCAAGCCATTGTTTTATCTCTAATATATTTAAACATTCTCTATAACACATCCTAAACTTTTTGACCCCAAGCAAAGTGATAATACCACTAGAATGCAGGGGGAGGGTTACAGGGAGTGAAAGAGAATGAAAAGACTTCAGCGGGGAGGATTGAGGAAAGGATAAAAAGGGAACAGGGTTCAAGAAGATGGCGATTGATGTAGCATTTAAATTTTTTGAAAATTGTAGTTATCAGGGAAGCAAGACATCAGAATGGTGATCTACAGTTAAGAAGTGCAAGAAAAGAAATTCTGAGAGTAGAAGTGGCAGTTGCATCTTGCTAGTTCAACAGTAAAAGAGTGGGACCTAGTTGCCAATCTAGTATATCTTAATCATAAATTCCTGTAATCAGGGTACCAAGGGGAAAAAAAGCTCATCCAGGCAGTTACCATGAAGATATTTGTAGAAAAAACAGAGAGAAGCCATGTCTTATTGATGAGAATGTCACTGAAGTCAAGATGCCTCGTCAGGATCAATGACATTAGAAACACTTTGAATTTCATCAGGAATCTTGAGATGTGCACCAAGAGCAGAAGCACTAGACCAGATATGGTAGTATTATTCAATGCATGGACAAATGGTAGATTTATAAATGTACTAGATAGATAGTAGATATTCTGGTATGACACATTGAATCAACTTTCCTCGTAGTAAACATAGCAATTGAATATGATACAGTCTCTCCACTTCATGTCTGTGTATATAATAATCAAAAACAGTACTCATTTTTTTTCTCTCCTGCAACCAGTGTAGTGACAATGATTGTTTGGGGTAGGTATGCTGATGGAAAAGGTGTTCATAGTTGGCATGAGAATAATCTTGAACAAAAAATTCAACATTATTTACTGAGTATTATTATTATTGCTACTTTTAAAATGAAGTACTTTTACGAGAGCTCTAGTCTATTTAATCTTTTCATAAACTATTTCATGCACATTTACAAGCATAGATGTTAAGAGATGGGCACGGACTCTCATATGGATGTCATATATTACATATGGCTATTCTACCACATCCTAAACAAATCTACAAATAAAAGACAATGATTCTGCTTTCCCTCCCAAGACCAAGGTACTGATGATGAGGGAGCTATAGCTGATGACATAGGTATTCATAGTTAGGATAAGAATGATCTTAAATATAAAATCAGCATTCTCTACTAAGCATTCTAAGAAATAGGACTCAAGATAAACATTTCCAAAACAGAAAGGTTTGGAATTGGATTGAAAGCAATGACAACACCTACCATCATAAAAATTCAGAATATTGAAATGATGAATACAAAACACTTCAAATACCTCAGTATATGGATCAATTATAACTAATTTATTATAGGAGATAAGGAAATTGAACATAGAATAAGTTGAATTAGGGGTAGTTTCACCTAACACCGCAGGATGCTACCAAATCAAAACATTAACCTCTGAACTCGAGTACTGTTCTTAAATAGCCTTGTCAGATGTAGATTCTCATATGGATATCATCCAACTTATTTAGAAATGTTTCAATTATCAGCTATTCTTTTCATACAATGTATGATACTTTGCCCTTGTCAGCTGCCAACCAGGGGAGGTAACACAGTTTTGGTGGCTAAGGTAATACTGCCACCCCTGGTGCCACCAGCAGTTTTTGCCACTGGATAGGGTATTGTTTTTGTATACGTGTCAATCTCTTGCAATTTCTTTTTACAACTGCAACAATATTTTCAACATTGTGTTAAAATACACAACGTGCTCATAGTGACCATTATTAATGATGTAGATTGGAAAGTAAACAGATGTGTTTCATGTCGAAAGGAGCATTGTGTTGCAAGCATGGTTTTATTTAACTTTATATTGGATCTTGACCAGATCCAACTTGATGCCTGTTGAGCTGTCGTCTGGAGAGGAGGTGAAGCATACTTTAGGTTCCAGCCATTGGTGCATATATATGTGCTATATACAACTGTTTCCTTAAATCAATGATTAAAAATAATAAAAAGCGAATGAACCCTGTGGGTCTTGAAGATAACAGTTTTTCATCAGATCTTGTAAACTGTCATTACAGAATCAGAAATGAATAAATTTACCAAATAACAGAAACCACATCACTTGAGGACTTCCAACAGAAGCAACAACTAAAATGGATAGCATATGTACCTCAAACATAAAATAATGACATAATCAAGATGTTGACATTTCACACTACGTTAAACAAAAGGCTATGCAGGAAATACCTATTACTACTATTTAGTCGACTTGAGAAATCTATTTTCTTGAAAAACTTTTTTTTAGAGAAAGATTTTATAAATTTCAACTGACAGTAATGCTAAGTGTTTGGCCAATGAATGCTGAAAGTTTCCTTATAAGGAAACAGTTAACTGTACCATTACCTTATTTACATTATTCGGACTATTGTCCTCATCTTTTTCACCATATCTATCACAACGTTTCGGCCGTTGTACGCTCTGGCCTTCTTCAGGTGGTTGGAATGTCATGGCACAGTGGATAAAGGCGTTGGTTAGATCCAGTGACAGGACCCAAAGAGTGTGAGTTCAATACCCGGTTAAGGCAGTGGAGAACTTTCAGAGCGAAATTAACAGGAGATAACTGATAACTGACATCCATTAGACATGGCATGTGGAACTAGAACAGTCTACCCCAGTGAGTGAAATAAAGGGTTCAGTTCGACATTCCAACCACCTGAAGAAGGCCGGAGCGTACAACGGGCAAAATGTTGTGATAGATATGGTGACAAAGATGAGGACAATAGTCCGAATAATGTAAATATGTACATAATACCTCATCTCAGAAATATAGACAGACTCTGTACCATTACCATGGGCTTTTTCATGTCCACAAGTGTCTTCTATGTTCTTGATAATGAAGTTGAACATTTTGAGTTTGCTTGTACATTATGCAACCATTGCATTCCCATCATTCATCCACAGGAATTATTCAAATGATTACAAAATCATTGGGGAACAATTCAATGAAAAATACCCAGATAAAATTTTGGTACTAAATGTTTCAAACTTGGCCAGGAATCCATTGAAAATGATTCATGTTCTGAAAGGTCATAAACAAGAAGAAAGCCTAAAAAATATTGAATGGATGTTGATGCAATATAAAGAAAATTAGTCAACTGACAGTACGAGAATTATATCTATGGAATCCAAGAACTAGATTAGAAAATGTCCAGCCATTTTGAATATCTTAATTGACCATTCTTCTTCCCATCTCATGCAAGGCTTTTGGAAAAAAAAGATGCATCATCCATGTGTGTCAACCCTCCTACAGTTTTAGAATTTGCTCCCTCTGGCTTCTAATTTATACCAAAGTTAAAGACCATGGAAGAGATTAAAGAGAATGCTGTGAGGATGAGTTGGTGATCCTGGAAGTGGGTTTGGCAATTTGAATATGTTGAGAACTGGTTGCATGATCTTGATGTAACTTGACAATCAGTTAAAAGAAACTGTATACATTCATAAACACACTCTCCCATGAGGTTACTCAGTCAGATATGTGGCCTCACTGAGTGAGCTTGCATATTATGTGACTATTGTGTTTGTAGTGAATATACAACAAGTCTTGTTTGAAACTTGGATATTCATCCATGGAAACTATTCAAATTTTTTTTTAATCATTTTACCCACCAAAATTAAAAAAGTCTTTTGGAGTTGATTCAATGAAGAAAAGCCAAGTAAAATGTTAATGTCACTGCTTCAAACTTGGCTGGGAATCCATTTAAAATGATCCATATTCTGAAATAAGAAGGAGGTCCAAAAATGTTTAATGCAAGCAGACTGCAGTCTAAAAGAAGTTAGACAATTGACTGTGCAAGAACTAGTTGTGTGGCCTTGATTTAACCTGGCAACCAACCAGAATGGGTCTTACTACACAGGCACACTCCTGTGAGGTTGCTCTGTTTGCAGTGAGCCTAAATGATTAAGGTTTTGGGGATTGGTTCATGTAGAAACCCAGATAAAATTAAGTTTACTCATCAGTGAAACAGCATCAGCTTTGTGTAATAAGTAACCATTGTATTCACAGTGATGGGACAACTCAATCAGTGAATGTAAATCAAATTTTGGAATTTGTTTGAATGATTAAGAATGTCTTTGATGGATGATTCAATGAGTGAAGCCCAGATAAAATTTGCACACCAATTCTTCAAACTTGACTGAAAATTCGTTGAATGCAATCTATATTCTGGAACACCTTCAAAAGAAATTGGTGGTTTATGAGACAATATGGAGGTTCAACACATCTACTCAGAAAATATCCAGGAATTTTTTTTTAATGTCATCACTATCCATTTTTTTGGCAAAACATTTTCTCATCCAGATCTATTAGTTAGAAATTTTGTTAAAGAAAAATTGCCAGAGAATATAAATTTTTTGAAATAAGATTTTTTGAATGTTCAGGCCAGTGGACAAAAATAAATACTGTTTGATAAATAAACAGAGCATCTACTCAATTACAGGTATTCACTAAAAATAATGTTTAAAGTGATAAAAAAAATCTGCTGTATTAATAAAAAATCCATTATTTTCTCTAAAATTCACTTTGTTTACATTTGGATATGAAACCTTGAAGATATAAAAAATTTCAGTAGATCTATGGAGAGAGAAGTCTTGCTTAAAGGAACAATTTCAACTTTGCCTGATTAATTGGTTCTCTGTAGCTATGTTAGTAAAAGACCATATCGGATTTAACGATAACTTCCCCTGCCCAAAGAGATGCAGGTTTGAATCCTTCCAGAGAGCATAATTTTTTGAATCCTGCCAGAGAGAAGAAGATTTCTTGAACATTCAAGCTGGCAGAGAAAAATAAATAAATATACTGTTTAATAAATACACAGAGTGTCTACTCAAATACAAGTATACACTAAAAAATAACATTTAAAGTGATAAAAAATCTGTTGGATTAATAAAAAATACATTACTTTTCTCTCTCTCTATATATATATATTATAATTATTTTTAAAAAAATATGATTCCTTTGCTACATAAGAGTTCTCATGTTTCAAAAACGAGAGCCGAAAACCTCAATATAATTATTAAAATTAAATAGAGTTAAAGTATCAAGCCCTGTTTCATCCTCAAACGAAAATTTAGGAATAACCAATCTTGAAATTTACGCATCTTTATAAGCATGTTCATTTGCAAAATTAATTACTATGTAAACGGCTGGGGCGACCATTTTGATAAGGGGCCTAAGAGATAATTTTTATCCACATATCAATCACCTTCGGAAAGAGGTCAAGCCGATGTAGGGTGGGGGTATCCATTTCAAAGCGAATGATAGCATTTATGTGCACACATTGTCTGGTCAGTCACAGCAAAAGATAGCTTTTGGCACCATATGTCATTAAGTGTTTAGAGAATTTTGTTTTAAGCTCTACTTCTATATGGAGCACTGTTTTTTAAAAATAAAAACAAAAATACTAAAGAACTCTGGATTATTTACCTAACGTGTTCTTTTCTATTTTCTACATATCTACACACACACACACACACATATATATATATATATATATATATATATATATATATATATATATGGTTAAAGGGACTAACTTTGAAATTGAAGCAGAGATTGAAATCCACTAATCTAACCTAATCTAAAATTTGTCTATGATATTTTTTCCTTCTCTTCAGTGTGTTTTTATTAATCTTTTACCATTTTCCTTCTTTTAATATCTCCTTTATTAATTTTTTTCTCCTTGTTCTTTTTCTCTTCTTTTTCTTTCCCCTTCTCCTTCCGTCTTCTCCTCATCAATTTTTTTCTTTTATTTTTTTCATTTCTTTCTCTATTTTCGTTTTTTCTTTGTATCTCTTTCCCTTTCCTTTCTTTTTCTTCCTCCTTCGTTTTTTTCTTCCCCTTTTTTCTCTCCTGCTGTTTTTTTCCTCTTTTCATCCTTTTCTTCCTCCTTGTGTTTCTTATTCTTTCATCTTATTCTTTCCCCTTCCATTTCTTCTTCCATATTTATCTTTCTTTTTTCTTTCTGTTTCTTTCCCTTTCTCCTTCATCTTCTTCACGCTTGCAATCTTTCTAATTTCCCCCTTCCATTTCTTCTACTCAGTTTTTCATCTTCCTTTTGTTCCTTCTTGTCCTTCTAACTTCTTCCACCTTCCATTGCTTTTCCTTCTCACTTCTTCTTCTCTTCTCCTTCTATATTTTCCTCTCCCTTCCTTTGCTTCTTTTTCTTCCATGTTATTCTTCCACTTTTGATATCTTCTGTTTTTCTTCCTTCTTCCATTTCTTCTATTATTCTTTCAACTTACATTTTTATTTCTTTCTCCATATCTTCTTCTCCTCCTATTTTTCTTCCCTCTTTCATTTCTTCTTCACCTTCCCTTTTTATTTCTTTCTCCATTTCTTGCTCTACTCCTATTTTTCTTCCTTCTTTCATTTCTTCTATTTTTCTTCCCTCTTTCATTTCTTCTTCTCATCCTGTTTTTCTTCCCTCTTTCATTTCTTTTTCACCTTCCATTTTTATTCCTTTTCCTATTTTTTCTTCTCCTCCTATTTTTCTTCCCTCTTTCATTTCTTCTTCACCTTCCCATTTCATTCCTTTCTCCATTTCTTCTTCTCATCCTGTTTTTCTTCCCTCTTTCACTTCTTTTTCACCTTCCATTTTTATTCCTTCTCCTATTTTTCTTCCCTCTTTCATTTCTTCTTCACTTTCCCATTTCATTCCTTTCTCCATTTCTTCTTCTCATCCTGTTTTTCTTCCCTCTTTCATTTCTTTTTCACCTTCCATTTTTATTCCTTTTCCTATTTTTTCTTCTCCTCCTATTTTTCTTCCCTCTTTCATTTCTTCTTCACTTTCCCTTTTTATTCCTTTCTCCATTTCTTCTTCTCATCCTATTATTCTTCCCCCTTTCATTTCTTCTTCTTCTATTTTTCTTCCCTCTTTCATTTCTTTTTCACCTTCCATTTTTATTCCTTTCGCTATTTCTTCTTCTCCTCCTATTTTTCTTCCTTCTTTCATTTCTTCTTCTCCCTTTTGATTCTTCTTCACCTATGTTTCTTGCTCTTCTTTCTTCTCCCTTCCATTTATTCTTCATCTTCCATTTGTTCTACTTCCCCTATTTTTCTATTCACTCTTCCCTTCTATCTCTTCTTCAATTTCTTCATTTTTTTTAAAACTTTTTCTTTCCATTAAAACTTTCTTCTTCTTTGCCTTCTTTACTTTATTTTTCCTCCATTTTGTTTTTCATTTCAATTTTTTCCTTTTTTGTGTCTTTCCCTTTCCATTTTTAAAATTCTTTTTCTTCTTTATTCTCTTGTTCCTATTTCTTCTTCTAATTTTTCTTCTTCACATCTCATTCCCATAACCCATGCCACACTCTGGCCCACCCCAGTTCTAAGTGCTGACAAGTAATTGATACAAGGCAATCAACAGATTGTTCATTGCTGCTGCTAGAGCCTGTTTCTATGGTTACAAGATGAAGCAGAGAAAGGCAGGCAGCCTCTTTGGTAATTATTCTTCATCCCAATGACAATCTGAACAGCTACATCCCTTTTCAGCATCTCTCTTTGTGTTCAATGTTTATTGCAGAGTCACTGGCCCTTAGATGACCAGCCAATGTCCATGTTCAGCCAGACAATTGGTCAGCTGAATGATAAATGAATACACAGCTGCCTTAACTACCTGAAGCTCTGGTCAGTCTCAGGGCTAGGGGGAAAAAAGAATCTATATAAATCAATATAAAGTGGTTGGTCATTTTAATTGTATATTGTGATAAATGAGAATAGCCACTCTCTCTGTAGGTTTTTCTTGTCCATGAGATGGACAGTGGTCATCAGTAAGCTGTATGCAGACTACAGATTGACTAATCAAAAAGAATAACAATGAAATTCTGGAAAAAAGAATGCTGTCTTTAAAAAATAACTGCAATACCAATTTTATGTGTTGATACTTGTAGTATACGAAAGGAGTAGATTTTACAAGTATTATTTAGTAACTAATATGGTCAATCATAAAATAGAATACTAATGGCATGGTATAATTATAAACATCGACCAATGGCATAATAGTATTATTAATACCAACCAATGGCACACTATTGTTATAAGCAACAACTAATGGCCCAATATTATTATAAACATTAACCAATGGCCTAGTATTATTATAAACATTAACCAATGGCCCAATATTATTATAAACATCAACTAATGGCCCAATATTATTATAAACATCAACCAATGGCCCAATATTATTATAAACATCAACCAATGGCCCAATATTATTATAAGCATCAACTAATTACACCATATTATTATAAACATTAACCTATGTAATTCAAACAATTCAACTTGAAAAATTGAAAATAAATACAATGTGTCTAAATACAAGTCGTAATACATCATTCCATTTTAAATAAATCAACAATGTTTTGTTAAAGAATTGAATAACGAATTATTGTGGATAAAAAATAGTGAATTTTTATAATGTTTTTTGAGACTTAGCATGATGTAACAAATTGACATGTACAAATATGAATAGAGTATTTGGGCATGATAACATCTATATGAGTCATATCACAATGTCTGTTTAAAGAAGTTCTCACTGTAAATGTTCATTGATATTAGATTCATAGCTAAAACTTTGGTTGACTACAATCAACAAAAATTTAAATGCAACATCAATCGTTACCTTCTGTGTCCTTGAATCCTGTTTCTTTTATTGTTCTTTCTCATCAGGAATGTTTTCTCAGTTCTCTTCATGCTCAGTAACACCTTGCATCTTAGTGACTTTATTGCCTTGCTTGTAATGAAATGAATAAAAAAATTTCAAAGCAAAGAATCTGCCTGAGTTAGGCTTACATACCATGTCCTTGCACTTCATAGGTGATCATGACCCTCCACAAATTCCTGTCTTTTGTTGCTGGGAGTAACTTTTAACCCATACCATCCCTATTTGTCCCTGTTTTGCTATCGATTCCAACAAAAGTCGGCTACTTGTTGTTCCCCCTTCCTGTTCTTGGCATCCACATGTTCAGTTCTGATTGTAAGAATAAATGTCTTTAACATTCCTCTTTTCTTTTAAACGTTAGCATTGCTCATATGTTCAGTTTATACTATCCTCAGCATCCTTTTGTAGAACCTCATCTGTTGTAATATATCTCTTCTTCATCTGTGATGAGACTGTCCAGCATTCACTGCTGATATTACATAGCAGAATGACTGGTATTACATAAAAGCTCTGTACTCTATTTACACTATTTTGGACTAGTGTCCTCATCTTTGTCGCCATATTTATTACTACATTTCGGCTGTTGTACGCAACGGCCTTCTTCAGTTGGTTGGAATGTCGAATTGAACCCTTTATTTCGCTCACTGGGGTAGACTGTTCTAGTTCCACATGTCATGTCTAAAGGTTTCAGTTTGACATTCCAACCACCTGAAGAAGGCCGGAGCGTACAACGGCTGAAACGTTGTAATAAATATGGTGACAAAGATGAAGACAATAGTCCGAATAATGTAAATAGTGTACATAATACCTCATCTCAGAAATATAGACAGATACTGAAAGGCCGAAACATTATAATAAATATGGCGACAAAGATGAGGACAATAGTCTGAATTTAGAAATACAGACAGCTCCGTACTCTTTTTCTTTGTTGCTGTAACAGGAGAAAAAGCTAGGGAAGAAAGACTTATTCTACCATTTGTATTTCACCTATTATGAGGAATTTGTGTTATATCCATATAATATCCATATATATATATCATTCGTCCTGACCTGGCATCTCTGCTTCAGTCACATTCGCACCATTGAAAGGTAGCTACCCTGTGACTTTTCTATATAGACGCCATGAATTTAAGTGCAGTTGGATGTAGTTTATCCTCTTAACCAGGATGCGGATATAGTTTATCGTCTTAACCAGGATGTGCTAATTTTTGGATGCTGAATCCAAAAATCAAGTCTATTTTTAATGGTTAGTGCTATATTTTGCAGTAGAGAACTTGAGTATTTAAAAAAAAAAAAGACTATTTATAGCTAAATTTTGTATCATTATGAAATTAATTCTTAATGCCTCCTGCCAAGAATCATGAATGGTACTGAATTCCTGATTTTTTGAACACCTATTTTTTACATTACAAAGACATGATGATGATAGTAAATAATAATGGCTGGCCACTCATATCCGAGAATGCCTGTCTACTAGGGTAGATAGCCAATCCCTGTTGCAGATGCCTGTTCACAGAGCCCACCTGTGGTTTATACTACAACTATACTGAGTATACTTTACTTCCAGTTTCTGGGACAGGGTGCGTTGTCTAGCATGATCAACAATCTGAACAAGGCTAGCATGCTCAAACTCTTGGTCACAATGACTTGTGATTTTGTGCTAACATAACCATTGACAGCTACCAATGAGTTCTATCTACCTAATTTTACTCACAAGGCTTGAGTCAACCCATGGTATGGTTTTCAGGCACTTTCCAAAGGTGCTGCATGCTAGGATCACTTTCCCCAGACTGACAACTTCATGAAGTCACCTTCCTGAAAAATTGACCCTGGTGAGATTTGAACCCGGGTCTTATGGTCTGAATGCAAATGTTCTAACTGCTCAGACATGCATGATGCTAATGACAGTAATTGTATTGTTCTAAGTTATGAATTTAAACAATATGAAGTCCTTGGATATAATCCCTTTATATAATCTATATCAAACATGTGATAGAAATTTTTGATATAACTTGTCTGATGGTAGTGATAGGCAATATAAAAGATTCCACTAGGACATTAAAGTTATGGAAGAACAGTAACAAGGAAGATGGAACAAAAGAATGATGGCTGATGACTGCTGGAAACTTAAAATGGAACAAATGTACTAAGAATTCTTGAAAGTCAAATAAATAAAAAATATTCCCATAACTACTAATTGCTTACAAAATTCAAATTTTGGTCTAAGATTGTTTAAGTTTCAACTGAGCATTTATTTTTTTCTTCCCATTTACAGTGAGCTGATCTAATCATGATCATTCCTAACATAGGATATGGTATTCTGGAGCAGGAAAACTAAAGATAATGGTGGAAAATGGATGTTATTTCTGGATTCAGCACCCCCAAATTCTTCAAAATTAGCTCAAACATGTCATGCTCCATTTCAGAGAAATATTTTGTAGGTCTGTGTCATTTCAAAGCAATTTCCTTACTTTTCTGTTTTTATGACAACATTTCTGCTCTCCAGGCTTGTATTAAAATTTCTCTTACCTACCAGTGAGGCTTACAATACATTGACTGCATACACTGCAGAAGGATAAGACCCCAGCAAAAGGAAAGAAACCCTATTTCCAACACAATTACATACCCATGTACATACCATATTATGACACACCCAAATTTTATTTTCTAACCAATAACAGAAAATGTTTACAAACATGGTAAAAAGATTCCACAATACAACACACACCATGTCTATTGGTTAGAAATTAACATCACCAGGTGAAATATTTGACCAGTCAGAGAAAACTAAAAACCTATTTTTTTGTTTAGCCTACTTTTATGAAAAATTTCTTATAAAATTCCACAAATTTCGACTTTCAGCACCAGATATATGATTATTTCCAAGCAGTTCAAGCACATGAGAAAACGTGGCTACATAGCTTTTTCCTCCCCAACATGTGCTGGAAGAAACGTGTTGGCGACTTCAAATGAATCATCTCCAACAACAACAACAGTCAGTGAATCTTCACTGAGGATCAAAGTCTTTTTTTAAACGGCAGTTATTTTTTTCTATGGACCAACTATTTAAAAGTCTTTTCTCAACCACAGCTGTTTTCTGTGGACCAACTACTAAAAGACTTTTCTAAACCACAGATTTTTTTTGTGGACCAACTACTCAAATACTTTTAATCAACTAAAGACTATTTTTACACCTTTTTGATTTTCTTGAATTCATGTAGATATGTTTGTAAATACAGTGTTACCCAGATATAAGAGAGTTGTCAGGACTGGAGAAGAAGTCTCTTATATCCGGGTTTCTCTTATATCCGGGTTTGGTCTATTTTATATACATTAACACAGGCGCTCTAATTTGGGACCAGGGAAAATCTCTCTTATATCCAGGTTACACTGTACAAATGATTTATTTAACAGGCATGAAACCATGTTTTCTTTATTTCTATTTTATTTTTGTTTGGAATTCGGATGTTTGGATTTTTAATATAAAAAAACCTGGACAACTGAAATTTCCTACAAGATTACCTCTTGAGTGGACACTCGCAGACTCTAGTGTAAATCAGACCAACATCTATATTTTTTTTACTCTACTGTAAACTGAACCTATGTCTAACCTTCATGTAAACTGAATTTAGACCTATCTTTTTGATTCTCATGTAAACCGGATTGCTGCTTCTTTTTTTGGTTCTTACATAATAGTAATCATAATGTTAAGATTAGCTGTTTTTACATAGGAAACAACCATCACTTATTAACCAGATAGCTAACCGCCAGTTAAAACTTATAAAATATTTCACTTAAAACATTTGTTTAAAGAAAAGAGAGTCTCTCAAATATCCTGTTATTACTCTATTCTTCAGAGATTATTTCCTAACCTTCTGCAAATGGTTGTGTGGACAGTCAACACTTGATTATATCATATTTGGGTGGGTGTCATCACTTTACCAAAGGGTCTCTGAGTCCTTTTTGGAGAAGAATTATTTTCTACACTCTAACTTGTCTCTCACATGTGGGATGTGAAAAGTCTCTCACTGATCTATCGCTACTTCCATGGAAAGTGCTCAGACGAGCTACATTCTTTGGTTCTGCTAGGTCTAACCTACATGGTCACAACCTCCCATGCAACTCACATAATAGCAAACCACATACATTCCCTCTGTATTCCTTACACCAGCAAGAACAAACAGCTTCTTCCAAGAGATCGTTTTCCCAATCACTATAATCTTAACTTGTTCAAGTCTAGAGTCAACCGTTATCTTCCCCTCCTAAACATACAAACTACTCCTTAACGTAACCCTCTACATCAAGTAGCTCCCTGGCCTTGTACAGAGTGAACCTTACTGAATAAAAATAGCAAAACATTTTCCTTTCTAGATACATGTGCCCACTGTTTTAATTGTTGTTTTTGGAAGTGTTCAAATGACTATGATTTTGGTTATTTGGTAAGGCTCTTTGTTTGCGATTCTGTAGCCCCAGGCTATAGGGGATCTCATGAAGGATTGTCTTCTTCAAGGCCTAATGGATTCATTTGCTTGAGGCTATAATCAAAGACATGAAGGCAACTGATTAAGGATACTCACCAAGGAAATCATCTGCTGAGAAATGGTCGGCATCCCAAACTTGCAGGTTGAGGCGTGCTGGGATTTTGGTTTCAGTCTCATCCCATGAAAATAATGTCTCTTTCCGTGAAATGACAATTTTTTCTTCAGCGAGGAGATAATCAAAGGGGAAAATGAACCGCCAGTTAAAGTTTCCCTCTCCCGTCAATGATCTGGAGAAAAAAAAAGAAAAAAAACATTGGAATCAGAAAATTCAGAAACAATTCCAAGAATATATTGCTGACAATGCCATTTAGGTTTGAGAATGAACATTCCCCATTTTGTTGATGGCTTTTGTTTTAACTGCTTTCTGACATTATCAAATGTGACATGGTCAGTTTAATATGGGATCTCTGATCCACTCAATGTTTATGTGTAGGTAGGGTACAAAAATACTGTCAAATGCTGCAGCTTGTCATAAAAGTATTAAAAGGACCAATGATGATTCCTTTTTACTGCAATGGTAAGGTTATGACTTCAGTTGGAATCTCCAGGGACAAGACATGTCTCTTTCAGTTTAGTTCTCTTTCAGATTCCTAGCCATGGAGAGTTGTAGCTGATATAATTTCATTTTTTTCTCTTACGTTGTCATTACCCCAAAATAGCTCAGTTTAATGAATTCACTGTTCAGATTGAATCTGGAATATATTTTATTGCCATTCCAGATTTGATGATATCAACAATGCCATTTTAGAAGAGAGATTGTAGCATGATATTATTACAAACATCACCCAATGGCCCAATATTATTACAAACATCACCCAATGGCCCAATATTATTATAAACATCAAACAATGGTCCTGTATTATTATAAAGATTAACCAATGGCCCAATATTATTATAAACATCAAACAATGGCCCCATATTATTATAAACATGAACTTATGTCACAATATTAATATAAACATCAACCCACTGGCCCAATATTATTATAAACATCAAACAATGGCCCAATATTATTATAAACATGTACTTATGTCACAATATTATTATAAACATCAACCCAATGGCCCAATATTATTATAAACATCAACCAATGGTCCAATTGTATTATAAACATCAATCAATGGCCCAATATTATTATAAACATCAACTTATGTTGTAATATCCTTATAAACATCAATTAATGGTATGATATTTTTATCCATATGAAACTATGATGATTTTATCATGAACATTAATTTATGCTACAATGTTTTTATAAATATCAAACTATGTCACATTATTATATACTTCAACTTAGGATATTTTTACAAACATAAACTCATGTTGCAATTTTATTATAAACATTAACCAATGGCACAATATTATGATAAACATCAACTTATGTTTTGATAGAATTTTTATCATCAACTTATGTTTAAATATTTTTATAAACATCAACCAATAACAAAAAGTTATTTATTTTTGACAAATATTTGATCCTGTTCCTATTGCTTTTTAATAAAACACTCAAAACTGCTTAAATTTATTTCTTTTTATTTAGGGTCCATGCTGCTTATTTAAAAGGCATAAAAAGAATAAATATGAAAACAAGGAAAGAGTTTCAATGATACATCGCAAAAATAACATGAAAGAAATGCTAGTGAAAAATTGTTATTTTAACGCAGCATCTACTTAGTTTCTGGTGTCAATAAGTAAGAGAAATAAAATGGAAGTTATATTTGTCAAAAATTAAAAATAATGGCAAAGTCTTCAGACAAGACTATTATGGGACTAAACACATGAGCTTTTAAAATATGGATATGCTTTGATTGGAACATGTAGTCACTCAACCCTGTTCTATATGGGGGTCTACGGGGAATTTTTTGCCGAGCCTATGGGCTTGGATACCCCACATTAAATTCGGCCTTGTGCCACATTTGAATGCGTGGGGCAGTTGGTAGATATCCTGTAGTTGGAGATTCATTGTGTAATTCACTTGATTCACTTCTAGCAGTTGACTACTACTTATACACGATCCTGGCAAATCTTATATGCGTTGTTCTTGTCCTAAGTATTATCGTTCGTTACCAACCTCCATGTGATTATTCTATGCAGTAAACTTCCGTAGGTTACAACAGGAACTCATATAGCAATTCTTACAATTTAAAAATATTTTAAATAACCTGCAAAAGGTTCATAAGTCTTAAGAAACAAATCAATCATGAAATAGCATAAATATTTGTACATTGAATATACTGCATACTCTTTTGTATCTTTTCAGCACCCCCTTCCATAGGCATGGTGAATGTCAGACACATAGTGAGTTGTAGACTAATGTAAAGTATATAGAACAAGCTCTTGGTTAATGTCATCACATTTGTTGCTGTATTAAGAAGTTCTGACTCGATTATTAAGATTTTATTTAAGCCCAAACCTACAGTAAACATTTGAGAATAAGATCAACTCTCCGAGGGTTATCCCTTTCCTCAACAAATGAAAATTTTTCTGCTCGACAAAAATAACCTAATAAACTCTGACTGCGTAAACAGTGAAAATGCTCTGGAGGAGCCTTTTGTAAACACAAAGCTGTTGTACCGAGCTGTTTTACTGGGGTGGGGGTGGCGATGCTTTGGGGGGGGGGAGGTAATGCCTATAATACATGTTATCTCTTGCTCAAGAGAAACAGTCTGACATTTACAATACTCAGCAAGTTTTTCTTTTTAAATGTTTCGTTAAACGAGCAAGTGGCACCAACCTATCTCAGTTTGGTTAAAATAAAATATTATAAAATACAAAGAGAAAAAAAAAAAAAAAAGCCCCAAATAAATGGGGGCCCATCCTTGCCTCTCCAAGACTTATTCCAAAAACCCAAGCAAGAAATGTCTGGTAAATATTCTTCCTGACATTGCTGAGGTGCAGCAAATGTGCACCAAGGAAAAGGTAGTTTAAAAATACAGTGGAAAGGTTCTTAGTAGCCAGCTACCCCCAGAAGGTTTTGGTGTGGGTGGGGGATGTGCTCTAACGCATATTTTACAAGCTGTTTGGCCCTACTCTAGACACAAGAATGTGACACATACCTGAGAGATGTTATGACATGTTCTACTCCCTCCCTCCTCTCTTTCTCTCTTTCTCACAATCTTCTCCACCCCTACTTTAGAATCCAACGACCCATTCATTGTCAGTGTATCCCCCACACCCCTCAAACACCAGAGCAGCTGGATTCTGGTGCTTGGCATATAAGAAAAAAGTTGTTTTTTTTTAAAAAAAAAAGATGGTTTTGTTGATCAAGAAATTTTTAGCTTTTTTTTCTTTTTTTTTTCACGGAATATACATATTGCTGTCTGGAGAGGGAGTGTGTCTCAACATCCAACTGCCTTTCAGAAGTCATTAAGAAAATCTAACAACAGTTGAGGAACTAACAAGGAACAATGTTACTAATTTAGGGCTTTTAGTACAAAAATGAAGTATTTCTTTTTTATTGGTGAAGAACCATCCTGAGTTTAAAAGAAGACAAAAGACTCTTCTTAGCATTTCCTGTCATTTCATAAAATAATCCAATTAACACTTCTGCTGCCATGCAAAATTGGAAAGTAGAATTTGTTAAATTCACTTAAATGTAAATAACCTGGAGAAACATATCTATGTCTTCTCCCCACCAGCTATGGCTTAAATAGTAGGAATATTTGGAAAAATTATTGTTAACTCCTAAAAACTGCTAATAAATATTCACTGACAAAAAAAGAAATATTTTTACAAACTATGTTATGGCTTTAAATAACCCACAAAGGGTTGATAAACTATAAAAAAAAATCAATTAATCTACTGCTGTGGAAATACTTATGCATTTTAGGATTCAGATATATTATACACACACACAAAGAATGCGATGGCTAAATTGTGGCCTAAATTATGCAAAAATGGTAATAACACTGACATCTCATTTTAACAGATATAATTTCCAAAATTACACAAAAATATCTTGAATTATGAAAGAATAAAATTTATTCAATAAAGCCATTGGCTTCAACCAGAGCTTCTAGATGATGTTTGGAATCTCTTCTGGATGGTCTCCTTGTTTAAGTTGGTGAATGCTGCCATAATCCTTGTCCTCATTCATCTTTGGTGTTACAAGGAATTTTGTTGGTCTCTCACACAACTGCACCCCACACTTAATAATAAAGAGGGTTGCAGTCTGGAGAGTAAGGTGGCCAGCTGTAAGGGGTAATGTGGTTGCATAAATTGTCTGACAGCCATGACTTGGTTCTCCTGCTTGTGTAGCATGGTGCAGAGTCCTTTTGCCAGACATAGGATCTTCCAACAGCCACCCTATTGACCCATGGCAGCAATACTTCTTCAAGGCACTTGATGCAGGCCTCTGTGTTCAGTCTGAGTTTTTCACCAACAAATTCAGGAGTTCTTTTTAAAAATACTTTTACAAACTTTGGCGGAAGGTTCCTCATACCAAAACGAATTATTAAGTTTAAAGAAAGTTTACAATGATGCCATGTAGACTAGGTTACATTTGTCATTCATGTATATTTGTATTTGATCTGTCTTCAAAGTGTAATGTGAGTTGTAGTGAGTTAACTGAGAAGTTTTCAGTTTAACAATGGCAGGATATTCATATTGTGAGAAGGCAGACATAATTCTGAGGAAGATGCTGGTTAGGTCTAATTACACGTTCCTTGCTTACCTTGTTAATTACTAGAAGTAGAAAGGTTTGCTTATTGCCCTGTTCACAATCATTTCCCTTTTATTGAACAGGAGTAGAGGTTTATTCCTTATTTTCTGTTTAGGATCGTGTCTTCTCTTTCACTCAATATGTTTATATGGACCTTTGTCCTTATTTTGGTGTGAGAAACCTGCCCACAAAGTTTGTAAAAGTATTTTTGATGCAACCTGTACATTATATATATATATATATATATATATATATATATATATATATATAGAGAGAGAGAGAGAGAGAGAGAGAGATAGATAGATAGATAGATAGATAGATAATATTAGTGGTAAATATACACATACATATGCAAAATATATACATACATACATACATACATGCACATATATATTTGTATAAAAAAAATAATTCCAAGAGGATAGAATCCAGGCAGAACTCAATGTCCAGGATAGAGTAAGGATATAATAAAAAGGCTTAAACACTAATATTCCATGGTCATAATTTATTCCATTGGAATCGTAAATACAATCCAATTCATCAGACTTACAAATTCAAAAAGAAAAC